CCTTGCTGTAGCTTCCCCCCCTTTACAGAGAGTAGGGACCATAGCAGGACCAGAAACCGGCTTTGAGAGTGGGGAAAATAACTTAGTATCAGCTTGAAGCAACTGCTTCCTCAAGGAATGTTGAAGACCAGGCTGGGTTGGATCTGCCTTTGATCTGTTATACTGTGTTACTGGTTTTCAGTTATTCTCCCTGGAACTGGTGCAGGGGCTGAGACACTATCCTACTGTGCGAGTCATATCTATATCTGTTTTCAGTTATGTATTTAAGAAATGTTTGTTGTGCACTTGAGTATTTGTATGTACATCACATGTATGTAGGAGTCCAAGGAGGTCAGAGAGGTGTTAGATGCCTTGGAGCTGGATTTACAGATGCTTGTGAACTGCTATGTGGATGTTGGGAAATAAACCCAGGTCCTCTGCAAGAGCAGTAAGTGCTCTTAACTGGTGACCCATCTCTCCAGCCTGTTAAGTATTTTCAAGATTCCATTAATTTTTTTTTAATTTCAGGAAAAATTTCTACACATGTAAGCAATCAGGAAAGCATTGCCATGTATGAAGAGAGTCAGGCACCGGGGACCTACATATGCCAGTGCTGTTGTATTGGTCACAATTCTTGTTGCTGCGACAAATGCCTGACAGAAACAATTTAAGGAAGGAAGGGCTTCTCTTAGCTCAGTTAGAGGGTACAGTCTGTCATGGTGGGGAAGTCACAGCAGTAGGAATTGGAGGCAGCGGTTCACATTGCATCCATGCTCGGGAAGCAGAGGCGATGGTGCTTAACTATCTCTTTTTTTATTTTTAAAGAATATGTTTACAGAGTCCTCCCTGCATGTATCTTGCTCACCGGAAGAGGGTGCCAGATCTCATTACAGGTGGTTGTGAGCCACCATGTGGTCATTGAGAATTGAACTCAGGACCTCTGGAAGAACAGCCAGTGCTCTTAACCTCCAAGCCATCCCTCCTGCCCTCTCTTTTTCCCTTTCATTCATCTGGACTCCAGCCTATATATAGGATGATGCTGTCCACAGTTAGAATGAAGCTTCTCACTTCAGTGTACCTAGTCTTCTCCTACAGACACGTTCAGGTGTTTGTCCCCATGGGGGATTCTAGGTCTTGTCACATTGACAATATTAGTCACCACAACCACTAGCATGGAGCCCAAATATGTCATCAGCAATTATAACAATAGTTTCCTTAGCGGGAGAACTTTTCTGTTGACTCCTGGTGAGTTGAGAGGCTCTCTGGGAAATCCGTGACAAAAGACATTGTGGTATAACACAGTAAGGTGTTGGTGGCTTTTTTGCTTGGCACCCAATTTTTCTTCTCCATCACATGGAAACTTCTGGCCTGCTAACTGCCCGAGGCCCTGGCCACCAGCTGTGGCCTCTCAGATGAGAGGCGTGCGTGCAGGGTGAACCAGGGTGGGGCCCCCTGTTTTGCAGAGGTCCAGTGATCTAGGCCTCATCATTCGGTGGCAGGAAAGCCTCATCCTCTGGAGTCTTAGCTCGATGATAAATCCTATTGCTAAGATCCTAGAGGAAAGTAAACAAGAACAATGAATGGCATACTAATGTCTACTGACTGAGTTAATGCTCTTTCAGCAACATATTCAGTGTGGATGGTCCCATGAAGCAGAGACCCGGGCATGCATTTTTGTTCAGGGTTCCTCCGTGTCCAAGGTGCCTTGAGGAGAAAGGTGGCCTTGGGTTCCTCCTTAAAGCTGTGGATTCATTGTATCCTAAATGTGAAGACAGCATCAGGGAGGAACGCAGTGCCTTTGACCTTTGTTGTGTGACAAAACTTTTCCTGGGGAGGTGAAACACGCACATCTATTCACCCCAGTTAGGGATCCGATGACAGACCAAAGTGCAGATGCCAGCAAATTCCAACGTGATGAACCAATGAGTTTTACTGGGGGTTATGTATAGGAGTATTGGTGAGGGGCCACTTAACAGGAGCAGAAATGACACAAAGACAGCTACATCACCAAAGCCCACCCCCAGCACAGGTGACAGCTCACAAAATCTGGGAACCTGGAGCTCACACTGTACAGCCTGCAGGCAGCTCAGCAGGCTGGATAGCATCCTCTTCAGCTGCTCAGTTGGTCTAAACCTCTTCCAGGCAGCCAGTCTTGTCTAAGATCCTTCTTTGCAGCTAGCTGTGGTTCACTCTGGTAGGGAGGGGTGCCTGGTGAATCTGGTCAGTTTCAGGAACTTCCTGAAGCTATTTTGAGTTGTTTGTTACCCTAGCTAAGGAGTTTCCTCACGGGGTGGTGTTTTTCAGTCCTGCAGGAAACTCACACGCCCACCTCTTTTTACTTCTCACTTCCTTATGAGGCCTGTACGGTGGACAGGAAAAGTCACAGATGTTGAGTAAGCCTGACTTTGGAGCTCTCTGCCTTCTTCACCTTTGAACTTCATTTGTCACATACTTGGCAATGTATTTGAATGTATATTTAATAATAATATTAAAAAAGTACTGCAGAGGCGGGCATGTGTCTAATGGATGCTCATTCATAGGCTGGGACACCAGAGACCGGATTGATCTTTGACCTAAAACAGCCCAGAATTTAAAAAAGAAAATAAATGGATGAAGCATAGGAACCAAAAGGTTTTCATGAGACTCGGGCACGACAGTCGTTGCTAGAGAAATGCAGCCGGAAAGCCACAATGAGGTTACACCACACATCTGTTAGAATGGATAGCACTGAAAGTTGCCTGTACCAAGTATTGGCAAGTATGTGGAGAAGCAATGTCTCCTCAACGGCTGTTGGGATGTCAGATGAGCTCCCTTCTTCAGAAAACAGTTGGGCAGGGCTTGAGGGTGTGGTTCAGTTGATAGAGTGCTTGCCTAGCGTGCCGGAAGTCCTAAGAGGCCCCTGCTCCATCCCCGGCACACATAAATACACAATCTCAGTATGTGGGCGTCAGCAGAAGCAGGAAGTTCAGAAATTCAAAGTCATTCTTGGGTACATGTGTAGTCTGAGGCTTGCCTGGGCTATATGAGACCCTGTTAATTTTGTTTTTTAAGGAAACGGTTGGACGGTTTCTTAGGAAGTCAACCACAGACCAGCTGTGAGACCTGAGCATTCTACTTCTAGGGCTTTAGAGGAAAAAAAAAGAAGTTTAGGTCTAGGTCTGTACTGTCACTTGCAGAAGGGTGTATTTTTATGGGAAGGGCTTGTGGATCAGAGGTGGCCTTTGTGGTTTGTGTGGGGGCAAGAAGGCAAAATGGGGGGGTGGGCCAGGCTGGCTGTGGGGGGGTCAGGAGCATGGCTGTTCTTAGGTCTGAATCCTGAGCAGGACAGCTGACCAAGGTGAGAGAGGAGCCCCATCCCTTCCTGAGGTGCCACACACATGGTGTGAATGGCCACACAGAGATGCCACACCCACAGTGTGAATGGCCTCAGATGGGCTCGATTCCGTATTTCAAACCTCCCAGCAGTGTGACCTTTCTAGAAATTGGCTTGTGGGGAGGAGAAGACAGTAGGGCCTTTTTAAATGAAGGTCTGAGCGATAGGCACATGTTTCCCAGAGTGTGAATGGCAACCCACTGTTTTTTTTTTTTCTACCCTTTCTCTCCAAAAGGACCTTTTCTGTCCATTTGCCACTCATCATCCATACCAAATATTTGTCCTGCTGATGTGACGTTGCATGGATGCTCTTCACTCCATGAACAACAGTTTGAACATGGGGTTTTGGGGTTTCCTTCCTTGTTTTGTGTCTGTGCCTGGCAGTCCACATGGTGAGGAACCATGCTTGCAGGCCAAAGAAATGAAGTCAGGAGAGGCAGACAGGAGGCCGGAGGCAGTAAGTAACAAGCCTCAGATAAGGGAGAGTTAGAAGAGAACATTTTCGGGCAGGGTACAGAGAGTGGGGAAGGCCTGCTGTCTAGCTAGTCTTGGGAGGCTGGAGGTCCAGAGGGTAACCTTTGAGATGGCATAAGTCTTATGAGTAAGACTTGATGGCTCTGGCCTTTTCTCCCCGTGAGCCTTAATGAGACAAGTTCACTTCTTGGAACTAGGCTGGCAGATGTATGTGATATGTAATGCCTGTGCATATGTAATGTTTTCTCTTTGCTTGAGTAGTTGGTATCAGGTTAGACTTTCTTAGTAGTGATTGGTTTGTCAATTTAAAATAGGAACTCTGGCTGGGCATAGTGTCTCCTGCCTTTCATCCCACAGCATGTGTAAAGCAAAGGCAGGCTGATTTCTGTGAGTTCAAGGCCAGCCTCATCTACATAGTGAGTTCCAGGACAGCCAAAGCTACAAAGTAAGACCGTGTCTCGATAAAAAGACAGAACTCTAAGGCAGAGGCAAGTGAATCTCTGAGAGTTCAAGGCCAACCTGATATACATAGAGAATTCCAGGATATCCAGGGATACATAGAGATCTTTATCTCAATCAATCAATAAATAAATAAAATAGGAACTCTGAAATAATACAATAAGTTGGTTATATGCTGAGTGCTAGAAAGCTCTAAAACATATATATATATATATATATATATATATATGTAAAATTCACATTAAATTAAAATTTCAGCCAATCATTCGGACACATGACTGAAATTAATCCCAGTACTCAGAAGGCTGGAGTAGAAGGACTGTTATGAGTTTGAAGCCATTGTGGGATTATATAATGAGTTCTAGGCCAGGCTGGGCTACAGAGTAAGAACCTGTCTCGATCTACTTAAAGATATTCAAACACTTTTGAGGTCAGATTTTTTTTTTCCCTGAGCTATGTTATAGTCATGGTTTGGTTAGGATTTGGTTTTCTGAACGGTGTGAGCCTTTGAAAGCTCTGGGCAGGTGTGGGGACAGTGTGTGTGTATGTGCTGTTACCTGCTGATGGTGGCTGTTTTCTGTGTTTGTAAGGACTGAGCACTGAGAAATCCATGCAATATTGTGGTGGGGGACGTATTCTGCTTTGTTCATTGGCTTTTTCATGACTTTTTAATCCAAGTTCCCTCCTGACTTGGCGTTGTCTTTTTGCCTTATAGGAGCCTGTGTGAAATGCAGCAAAGGGGTGTTTGGAGCCGGCCAGGCCTGCCAGGCCATGGGGGACCTCTACCACGATGCATGCTTCACCTGTGCAGCCTGCAGTAAGTATGCAGCGGGGGTGGGGCGGGGTGGAGAAGAGCACAGGAGAGAGAGTGGGGGGGGGTGAGACTGTGGGGGTGGAACCCAGAGCTTCCTATACATCCTAGGCAGTTGCTCGGTCATGGAGTCCAACTGGACAGGATCCTTTAGAGCAAGGATTCCCAACCCCCAATACAAGGCTAATGAAGTAAGGTGACTTATCTCTAAGTGTTTAAGATGGTGATGGTAGGTTGGGTGGTTTCAAACTCATCCTTAATAACACTAGGTTTGTAATGTACTGTGGAGGCCTCAGGAACAGAGGGAAGAGATGCTCAGGGCCAGGTCAGTTATCTCCCCAACTAGTGGACCATTCATGCATATATCACATGGACAACTGGAACCTTCAGTGCACCCAAGGCTGTCGTCATTTCCAGTGCGTCGCAAGAACACACACCGCCTGGGTTGAGCTGATGGCAGCTGGTCACTGTTGGAGTCTGTCAGACAGAATGTTTGCATATCCGACTGAGTCGTGGATTATGTTTGATTCTGCCCTCTGCTGAAGATTACAGGAGATTTTTGTAAAAAGAAGTTCCTCTCTCTTTCTCCCTCCCTTCTTCCTGCCTTTCCTTTCTGTTCTGAAAGTCACCTCTTAGCCTGGGCCCTGCTGGTGCATGGCATGCCTTTAATCCCAGCACTGGTTTGGGAGGGATGTCGGTGGATCTCAGTTCAGCCAGCCTGGCTACAGAGTTCCAGGATATCCAGGGCTACACAGAGAAACCTTGTCTCAAAGAGGGAGAGGGAAAGAGAAAAGAGAAAGAAAGAATGTTATCTCTTCTCTGGGTCATAATGCCACACAGGGACAGCTTCCATCCTTTCTGTGTCTTGATTCACATATGAACCTTTCTGACAACTCATCCCTTTCTGTGGTTACATCTACCTCACGTGTTTGATCATCAGTTCCAAGGAAGTTGGTGAAGAGAGCGAACCCTGTTGAGGTAGAGAGTGGCAAGACACTGTAAGAATGGTTTTAGGGGAAAGTAAGGAACAGTATATGGACAACATATACATGAAATATGTTAGGCAAAATATCATTGGTGGGGCTGGTGAAATGGCTCAGGAGTTAAGAGCTCCGGCTACTCCTCCAAAGGACCTGGGTTTGATTACCAGCACCTACAGAGTGCAGAGTGACTCATATTTGTCTCTAATGCTAGTTTCAGGGGATCTGATGCCTTCCTATGGCCTTCACAGGGACCGGGCAAGCACACAGTGCACAGACAGACATGTATGCAAACAAAGCACATACATACATACGTGTGTGTGTGTGTGTGTGTGTGTGTGTGTGTGTAGACAGAGTTTTCCTGTCCTAAACAGCCAGTCCAAATAACCACTCAGAGTCTTACTATTAATTATGAATGCTTGGCCAATAGCTCAGGCTTGTTACTAGATGACTCTTGCATTTTAAATTAACCCATATTTCTTACCTACACTATGCCACATGGCTCATGGCTCATTTCCTCATTTTCTCCATGTCCTGCTTCCTCTGTGACTGCTGGTGTCTCCCCTGAGTCCACCCTTCTTCATTCCAGTGTCCTTAGTTTGTTTGTTCTATCTATACTTCCTACCTGGCTACCAGACATCCAGATTTTTATTAACCAATCCCAGTGACAAATCTTCACAGTGTACAAAAGGATTATTCCACAGCAAATAATAATAATCATAATAAAAATATTTTTTAAAATGTCATTGGTGGCAGAGAGACACAGTCCAGCACTGTAACCATAGCCCTGGGGACTTGTATTCTGATAAAGCCAGGCCCTTGACTATACCATTTTTTTTAAAAGATGGATCAAAGTAAAGTTAGTGAATCTATTAAATAGAGATGAAGATTAGTATGCATTTCAAGTTTAAGGATGGTGGAGAGGGGCTGGAGGGATAGCTCAGCCGTTAAAGGCTAGGCTCACAACCAAAAATATAAGGATGGTGGAGGGAGAGGCAGGGTAGACAAAAAAGAGGGAGGGAGGGAGGGAGGGAGAGAGAGAGAAAGGGGAGAGGGAGACGATAATATGCTTAAGACATGTGTGGGCTTCCTAAGGGAAGAGTCACTCTTAGAACGCTGGCTGCCTCTTTCTCTTTCCTTCCCCCCAACCTCGTGTGTGTGTGTTTGTGTGTGTGTGTGTGTGTGTGTGTGTGTGTGTGTGTGTGATCTGTTCTCAAAGGATATAATTCATAAGGTTTAAAGATGGAGTTTAAATTTAAAGCACTGATTCAGTACCTTATTATTTGGTATTCTCATTGTTGTAACAAGACACTTGACAAGGCAGCTTCTCAGAAGGGAAGGTTTATTTGGGCATGAAGCTGGAAAGTTATCGACCATAACGGCAGAACGTGAATCAGCTGTTCACATTGCATCTATACTCAGGAAGCAGAGAGAAATGAACACTGGTAAGAAGGAAGCCCTCTGTTTTGTTCAGCCCAGGACCCCAACACACGGAATGGTGCTGCTCACATTTAGAGTATGTCTCCCCATCTGGGAACTCCCTCGTTGATGTGGCTTGTATCCTAGGTGATGCTATATCTTGTCAAGTTGGTAACCAAACTTAATCATTATAAATACCATGTGTTTCATTTCAGAAGCTTCCTGGGGTGAGGTGGGGCTGGGAGAAGACCTTGCTTACCACTGTCTAGCCCAGCAGATCTCCCCCAGGTTCCCTGGCTAATGCTGGTTAACCTGCCTCTATACTGCCATGCCCAAGAGTTCTTAGCCTCACACTTCCATTCTACTGCAGTTTCCCTTAACATGCTTGAGAGCACTGACCATTGTCCAGGTTTTAGGGGAAAATTAGAAAGATCTGGGACAGGTCAGGAAGTCTCCTGCCCTGGGTTGTTAGGTCTCTGAGTCTTCCTGCCTTCCTTGTCCCTGAGCTCTGTTACACCAAGATGAGTCAGGGAATTTCCTGTGTTTCTGGAGTCATGGGACCTCTTGGTCTCCAGGCTTTCTTGTGTCTGAGCTCTGTTGCTCTCTGAGGTTGTCTGTGTGACTTACACACAACAGTGTGAGCTGTGTCTGCTAGAGACACAGTGTTTCTTATTGCTGTGGAGCCTGAAAGGTTTGTATCTGTTAAACAATTTCCTTTTCCTTCAGCATTCCAGATGTCCATGATATAAATGGTTTTTGCATTCTCCCAGTAGCCTCTTACCAGTGTTCTCATTAGTTGATAAATTATTTGATCTGTTTGTGGTTTGTGTATGTGGACATTGTAACCAGACCTCTTTAAACTTTATCTTTGAGGGGCTAGGGATATAGCTCAGTAGGTAGAGTACTTGCCTAGCGTGCATTGGAATGCCTTGACTTCAATTCCCTAGTACTGCATAAGTCAGGCATGATGTGGACACCTATAATCAATCCCAGCATGCAGATCAAGAGTTCAACGCCATCCTTAGCTACATAGTGAGTTCAAGGATAACCTGGGCAACATGTTCAAAAGAAAAATTATCTTGGGACTTGGGCTCTTCCAAGTGTTTTCCTTTAATTTTTGAGATTATAATATAATCATTTTACATTTGTTTATGTCATTTATCCCTTCCCTTTCCTCCCTCCATATACCCCTCCTTGCCCTCTTTCAAGTTCATGGCCATGTTTTTTTTCACTAAATGCTGTTTCATGCACGTGCGAGTGTACGTGTGTATACCTAAATTATTTCTAAATACAACCTGCTGCAGCCTGTATAAGGTTACTTGTATTTTTGTTTTTAGGACTGACTGCTGTTGGGTAACCAATTGGTGTGCTCTTCCCTGAGGAGACTGATAGCTGCTTCTTAATATTTGCTCTGTTTACCATAGGAAAGAAAAACACCAAGTAGAGATTTTCCCTCCCTTTTCTTCCTTTTTTTTTTTATTTCAGGCAGTTACTGTTTGAACTGGGATAGCTCTTAGCAGGCAGAAGCCTGCTAATGGCTATGGGGGCCTGCTGTAACAAGTGCCTTGGACCAAGTGGCCGGTAAACAGCTGCCTTGACTGCTCACAGTGGCTACTGGGAAGGTCAGGCACCAGCATATTTAGTGTTTCTCGAGGGGACCTGCTTCCTGGTTCATAAAGGACCTTCCTGGAGTCCTCAAAGAAGGGGGGCGGAAGCTCTCAGGAGGGGGGCTCCTCTGAGTCACCCTGGAGCTCTGGCCTCCTTCATAACTTTCCACCTCCCAAGGCCTGCCTTAGTAGGAACACCTTGGAGCTTGGCATCCAGCTTAAGAAATTTAGGGGAGCACAGACATTCAGTCCTATGTAGTTGCATCAGTCATTTTTACCTGGGGCTGTTTGAATAGCCTTAATGGACTATTTAGGCTGCCTCAAATGGCGGCACGCAGACGCTTGTGGACTTAGGTGGACCTAGGCTCTTTTAAGTTTTGAATGTAGGGCTGGAGAGATGGCTCAGCCGTTAAAGGCTAGGCTCACAACCAAAAATATAAGTTTTGAATGTAACTTACATTGTATTCTGGCTGGAGTGTCTTGCTCCTTCAAAATTCATGTTGGCATGCAATGGCCAGAGTGATAGTTGATAGTATTTAGAGGTGGGGGCGCTTGGATGGTGTTAGTTTGGGGTTGTGAGGTTGGAGCTCCCCGATTGCTTTATAACAAGAGGACAGACCTCTATCGTTCTGAAATGCCATGTGCTACCTTTAACCTCTGCAAAGTCCCTTTAGCAAGAAGACCCTCATTAGATGTAGCCTTTCCATTTGGGATATTTAGAACTGTGAGCTGAGTAAACTTTTTTTTCTTCATAAGTTATCCAGACTCTGGATATTCAATTATAGCATAGAAAAAAGACTAAGACAAAATGACAACTGAGAAGAATATGTCAGTCTTGCACTGTCGTCCAGGAGCCTCAGTGTTCACACTTTATTCTGAGCGCTGGTCAGAAGGTCTCATATCTCCGTAGACATGAGAGGCTGGCCGCAGACTCCCTCTCACCTAGTTTGGCTGTTGAGGAAGGCGTTCCACCAAGACTCAGGCACACCTTTGTCTTGCT